CTGCCTCTGCCTCCCGAGTGCTGGGATTAAAGGCGTGCGCCACCACCGCCCGGCTCAAAATTACATTTCTTTATTGTGTATGTGTGTTGTGTGTTGTGTGTGTGTGTGTGTGTGTGTGTGTACACTTGTGCCATGGCATGCATGTAGAGATTAGAGGAGAGTTTACAGGAATTGCTTCTCTCTTCCCACCATATGGTCCTGGAAACCGTACTCCTGTTGTCAGGCTGAGCCCAATGCCACTTGGGCCTTCACTTCTTTTTCTGTTATTGTTGTTGATTTTTGTTTTCTCCAGACAGGGTTTCTCTGTGTAACAGCCCTGGCTCTCCTGGAACTAGCTCTGTAGACCAGGTTAGTCTTGAACTCTCAGAGATCCACCTGCCTCTGCCATCCAAGACTGGGATTAAAGGTGTGCACCACCACTGCCCCGCCGGGCCTTTACTTCTTGGAGACAGAATGCACATCCCTTTGCTGCTGTATGTTCAGCCCCATCATGAGGTAGCTCATCAATAAATGTTGACTAAAGGGATAGATTAATGATATCATGAAACCATGGGATTGATGGGCCTGAAAATAATGAACATTCTGGGCATGGTGATGTTTGTCTATAATCTCAGCACTTGGAAGACTGAGGCAGGGGGATCGAATGTTCAGGCTAGGGCTGGAGAGGAGACTCAGGAGCTTAGAGCACTTGTGGCCCTTGCAGAGGGGCTGGGTTTCAGTTCCCAGCACCCACATGGCAGCTCACCACTGTCTGTAACTCCGGTTCCAGGGGATTCGGTGCCTTTTTCTGACCTCTCAGGGGACCAGTCATGTACATGATACATGTACCATACATGCAAACAAAACACTCATATCCGTAAAAATAAATAAACTTAAAAAAGAGAGAGAGAGTTCAGGTCAGTCTGGTTACATGGGGCCCTGTCTCAAACAAAAAGCAACAGAGACAGGAAATAATGACTATCTGTTAAATACATACTATATCCCCCAGCTTCTGAAAAAGGTGTATTTTTCCTTGTATGTGCTTATGGGGGAGGTGTGTGCATGTGAATGTAGGTGCTGAGAAAGCCAGTGTCAAATCTCCTTGGAGCTGGAGTTGCAGGAAGCTGTGAGTTCTGACACGGTGCGGGAACTGAACTTGATTCACAGTGTGAACTCATAAGCTCTGAGCCATCGCCCCTGCCCCTGCTTCTTCTTTCTATTTTGACTTTACTTATTTGTATGTGTACAGGTGTTTTGCCAGCTGTTACGCGGAATAATCTTTTCGTATACTGTGAAGATGTGTCTTTGCCAAGGCACCTTCTGATTGGTTTAATAAAGAGCTGACTGGCCAATAGCTAAGCAGGAAGAGGTTAGGCAGGAGAGCCAAACTGAGAGGACGTTGGGAAGAAGAAGAACGGAGAGACAGGGTTGCCAGCCAGATGCAGAGGAAGCAGGAGATGAGCATGCCAAGCTATAAAAAGGTACTGCCACATGGTAGAGCATAGATAAGAGATATGGGTTAATTTAAGTTGAAAAAGCTAGTTAGTAACAAGTCTAACTATCAGCTATCAGCTGGGCATTTATAATTAATATTAAGTCTCTGTGCGCTTATTGGGGAGCCAGTGGTCCTGATGAAAAACTCCGCTTACAGCCAGCACGTATGTATGTGCGTGCCGCATGCCGTGCATGTGAAGAGAAGAGGACGTCAAATCCCCTTGAATTTGAATTACAGATGATGGTGAGCCACCATGTGGGTGCTGGGAATGGAACTGGGTCCTCTGGAAGAGCAGTGCTCTTAACTGCTGAGTCGTCTCTGTAACCCCAGTTCTTAGTCTGTGGGTGATGAACCTATATGGGGCCTCAGAACTGAATGTGGGGAGCCATGAAAAGACTGGCAACGGTAAAATGTTTCTGAGTGTCCACTGACCAAAAATTAAACACCGTACACATTCATCTGTGCTGCACTGTAAAAGTCCACTATAACCTTGGCTCTGAACATGTAACCTGTACAGTCTGTAGTGTGCATACAGCCAAGCCACACAACACCAACGTTTGCCTGGAACATCTTGGCTTAGATTTGGGATCAATGTTATGAACTGTAGTGTTCTACTGTACATACAAAGCTTTCTGCTCTTACAGAAACATAATGGTTTAATTACAGAAAGCAAAGACTTCATATTTTCTTACTGTCTTTCCTCAGCTGTAAGTATCAAATTAATGTGTGTTTGGATTGTACTGTGTTAGAATGCTTGGCATGAAAAATTGCTGACTTGAGTTTCATTTAGAAAAAAAATAAAAAAAA